TTAATATAGGCGTGGCTTTAATTTACATCAATAGTCTTTTAACACAGTTTTCTTTCATTACATACACGTTTTGATAAAAGGAAGCTCCACCTAAATGGTCATTTATTTCTTCATTTTGCTTCTTTTCTTCCCAGATAAACTAGGCTGGTAGCATAGAAAGAATTCTGCAAAACACTTTTGTTCACATTTCTTTGAGCTGGAGCCAGCTCTACCTAATCATATTCATATTTTTGCTATTATTTTGTTATTGTGGCCCCGTACTTCTTATAGTTGTCCAGATTTAAGGTAGATTTCCTCATAACCATAAAAGACCTCCATATTTAGTTCTCACAGAAAAATAAAGTCAATACATAAAACAAATTTGAAAGCTGTGAAACCCACAATTCAACAGGTGACCTCTTTTCTAGATCCCTTAATATTCATTCAATTTCTTTTCCTCTTAAATATGCTCATGTCTCAATCCTTAAAGTATTTCAGTGGATTCTCACTGCTCTCAGGATAATGCTCAAACTCTTCCACCTGGCTTATCATGGCATTCATGATGGGAACATGCTTTCATTTCCTGCCTTGCTTCTGAAAACTTCCCTTCTTGCACTCTACGACACATTCACCCTAATGTTCACTTTAGGTCCTTGATCAGTTTATGGATCTTATTTAGATCTGTATTCGAACAACTTATAAAGAAAAATGTTTTGAAGACAATCAAAGAAATGTAACTAATAACTGGATTTTATGAAATTGAGACATAATTTTGATGTTTTTAGATGTCATGATAGTATTTTGGTTTTGTTTAAACAAAGAAATCTTATTTTTTACATACACATGATGAGAGGCTTATGATAATGTCTGAGATTCAGTTCAAAATAATCCAAGTTTGGAAAGTAGATGAAACAAGGCTGTTTGAGCTCATAATTGTTTAAACACATGGTATGTTGAACACATGGTAATCATTATGTGAACCTCTTGACTTTTGTATATGTTTGAAACTTTAAAAAAACAAAACCACAAGTCATTTTGGATCAAATTATGGAAATGTATATTAATATAGTTTTGGATCATATATAGGCATCCACAATTATTCTATTACTACCTATTTATATTAAGATGGTATATATGCAATGTAGATATAATTTTTATTTACTTTTTAAATTTTGAATTTTTAATTTAAGTTCAGGGATATATTTGCAGGATATGCAGGTTTGTTACATAGTTAAATGTGTGCCATAGTGATTAGCTGCACAGATCATCCCATCACTTACGGATTAAGCTCAGCATCCAAAAGCCATTCTTACTGATGCTCTCCCTCCTCCCACTCTACACCCTCCAACATGCCATAGTATGGGTTATTCTCCTTCCTGTGTCCTTGTGTTCTCATTGTATAGGTCCCACTAATAAGTGAGAATATATGGTGTTTGGTTTTCTGTTCCTGCACTAGTTTGTCAAAGATTATGGCTTCCAGCTCCATCCATGTCCCTGCAAAGGACATGATCGTGTTCTTTATTGTGGCTGCATGGTATAACATGGTATATATGTACTATATTTTCTTTATCCAATCTGTCATTGGTGGGCATTTGGGTTGATTCCATTACTTTGCTGTTGTGAAAAGTACTGCAGAGAACATATACTTGCATGTATCTTTATAATAGAATAGTTTATATTCCTTTGGGTATATACCCAGTAATGGGATTGCTGAGCAGAATGGTATTTCTGCCTCTAGGTCTTTGAGGAATCACCACCTATCTTCCACAATGGTTGAACTAATTTACACTTCCACCAACAAAAGTGTTCCTTTTTCTCCACAACCTCACTAGCATCTGTTGTTTTTGGCTTTTTAATAACAGCCATTCTGACTGGTGTGTGATGGTATCTCATTGTGACTTTATTTGCATTTCTCTAATGATCAGTGATGTTGAGCTTTTTTTCATATGTTTGTTGGCTGCATGTATGTCTTCCTTTGAGAAGTATTTGTTCATGTCCTTTGCCCACTTAATTTTTTTTATTATTATAAATTTGTTTAAGTTCCTTGTAGACACTGGATATTAGACCTTTGTCAGATAGGTAGATTGCAAAAATTTTCTCCCATTCAGTAGGCTGTCTGTTCACTCTGATGATAGTTTAATTTGCTGTACAGAAGCTCTTTAGTTTAATTAGGTCCTATGTTTCAAATTTTGCTTTTGTTACAATTGTTTTTGGTGTCTTCGTCATGAAATATTTGCAGTACCTATGTCCTGAATGGTATTGCCTAGATTTTCTTCTAGGGTTTGCATAGTTTGGGGTTTTATATTTAGGTCTTTAATCCATCCTGAGTTGATTTTTGTATATGGTGTAAAGAAGGGGCCTAGTTTTAATCTGCATATGGCTAGACAGTTACCTCAGCACTATTAATTAAATAGGGAACCCTTTCCCTCCTTGCTTGTTTTGGTCAGGTTTGTCGAAGATCAGATGGTTGTAGGTGTGTGGTCTTATTTCTGGGTTCTCTATTCTGCTCCACTGTTCTTTGTGTTTTTTTTGTACTGGTACCATGCTGCTTCGGTTATTCTATGCCTGTAGTGTAGTTTGAAGTCAGGTAGTATGATGCCTCTAGCTTTGTTTTTGTTTGTTTGGTAGGTTGGCTGGTTTTTTGCTTAGGATTTCCTTGACTATTCAGACACATTTTTGGTTCTATATGAATTTTAAAATAGTTTTTTCTAGTTCTGTGAAGAATGTCAGTGGTCATTTAATGGGAAGAGCATTGAATCTATAAATTTCTTTGAGCAGTATGGCCATTTTCATCGTAGTGATTCTCCTATCCATGAGCATGGAATATTTTTCCATTTGTTCGTGTAATCTCTGATTTCTTTTAGGAGGGGTTTGTGGTTCTCCTTGTAGATATCTTTCACCTCCCTTATTAGCTGTATTCCTAGATATTTTATTGTTTTTATGGCAATTGTGAATGGGAGTTCATTCCTGATTTGTTTCTTGGCTTGACTGTTGTTATTGTATCTGAATGCTAGTGATTTTTGCACATAGATTTTGTGTCCTGAGGTTTTGCTGAAGTTGATTATCAGCTTAAGAAGCTTTTAGGCTGAGATTATGCGGTTTTCTAGATATAGGATTATGTCATCTACAAACAGGGATAGTTTGACTTCTTCTCTTTCTATTTGAAGGCCTTTATTTCTTTCTCTTGCCTGATTGCCCTGGCCAGAACTTTCATTATACACATATATAATTTATATATATATATATGTATGTATATATTGCATTGTAGGTTTTGGGGTACATGTGAAGAACATGCAAGATTGTTGCATAGGTACATACATGGCAATGTGGTTTGCTGCCTTCCTCCTCATCACCTGTATCTGGCATTTCTCCCCATGTTGTCTCTCCCCAACTCCCCACCTCCCACTGTCCTTCCCCTAGTTCCCCTCCACAGACCCCAGTGTGTGCTGCTTCCTTCCCTGTTTCCATGTGTTCTCATTGTTCAACACCCGCCTACAAGTGAGAACATGCAGTGTTTGATTTTCTGTTCTTGTGTCAGTTTGCTGAGAATGATGGTTTCTAGATTCATACATGTCCCTACAAAGGACACAAACTCATCATTTTTTACGGCTGCATAGTATTCCATGTGCCACATTTTCCCTGTCCAGTCTATCATCGATGGGCATTTGGGTTGGTTCCAGGTCTTTGCTACTGTAAACAGTGCTGCAATGAACATTCATGTGCATGTGTCCTTATAATAGAATTATTTATTATAATAATTTAATTAATCCTTTGGATATATACCCAGTAATGGGATTGCTGGGTCAAATGGAATTTCTATTTCTAGGTCCTTGAGGAATCGCCACACTGTCTTCCACAATGGTTGAACTAATTTACACTCCCACCAACAGTGTAAAAGTGTTCCTATTTCTCCACATTCTCTTCAGCATCTGTTGTCTCCAGATTTTTTGATTGCCATTCTAACTGGCATGAGACGGTATCTGAATGTAGTTTTGATCTGCATTTCTCTAATGACCAGTGATGATGAATATTTTTTCATATGTTTCTTGGCCTTATAGATGTCTTCTTTTGTAAAGTGTCTGTTCATATCCTTCGCCCACTTTTGGATATTCAATATTATGTTGAATAGAAGTTGTGAGAGAGGGCATCTTTGTCTTGTGCCAGTTTTCAAGGGGAATGCTTCCAGCTTTTGACCGTTCAGTATGATATTGGTTGTGGGTTTGTCATATATGACTCATTATTTTGAGGTATATTCCTTCAAAACCTAGTTTACTGAGAATTTTTAACATGAATGGATGTTGAATTTTATAGAAAATGCTTTTTCCGCATCTACTGAAATAATCATGTGATTTTTGTCTTTAGTCCTGTTTTCATGATGAATCACATTTATCGATTTGCTTATGTTGAATCAACCTTGCATCCTGGGCATAAAGTCTGTTTGATCGTGGTGGATAAGCTTTTTGATGTGTTGCTAGATTTGGTTAGCCTGTATTTTGTTGAGGATTTTTGCAATGATCTTCATCTGGGATATTGGGCTGAAGTTTTCTTTTTTGTTGTTGTATCTCTACCAGGTCTTGCTATCAAGATGATTCTGGCCTCGAACAATGAGTTAGGGAGGAGTCCCTCCTTTTCAATTTTTTTGGAATAATTTCAGTTGGACTGGTACCAGCTCTTCTTTGTACCTCTAGTAGAATTTGTCTAATCCTCAGCAGATTGGTTGTTGTTTTTGTTGGTAGCTACTTATTACCGCCTTAATTTAAGAACTCATTATTGGGATTTGATTTCTTCCAGGTTAATTCTTTGGAGGGTGTATGTGTTGAAGAGTTTGTACATTCTTCTATATTTTCTATCTTATGTGGATAGAGGTATTTTTAGTATTCTCTGATAGTTGTTTGTATTTCTGTGAGGTCAGTGGTAATATCCCCTTATCATTTCTGATTGTGTTTATTTGAATCTTCTCTCTTTTTTATTAGCTAACTAGAAGTCTATTTTATTGCTTTTTTTCAAAATCCAGCTCCTAGAGAAAAACAGAACACTTCACAAAATTGCATGCCATCCTTTCACAGGGGCCATAATAATCTTCTCTGTATCACTTCAGGTTTAGTATATGTGCTGCTGAAGTGAGCACAAACACAAGTCTTGACTGAGCCATCTAAACTATTTTTCATCTCTCTTATGCCATCAAATAAAAGATCATTAACAAAAAGTAAAATTTTTTTTACAAATATTGTAAACAAAAATATTGTTAACAAAAAATAAAAGACCACACTAGACCACTTATTATTTTATCTAGTATTTTCTGGATATACATTACTCTTATCACAATGAGAATAGTCACCCTAATGGTTCAGGTTTTAATAGACTTTTAGATCTATATATGTTTCATCAGTAAAACGAAGATAACAGATCTTTGATTCTGCCAACCGAGGTTGGTTCTATTCTTGTATGAAGAGTCAGCTTGAATGTATATATCTAACCACTATAACATATTTTTACATTGCTCTAAAATACTAGCCTATTTTTCCTGTTATTGGCTTCATGGCCTGAGTCCCTTACTTCTTAGGAGACCATAGCAAAGATGCTGTATTAAAAAGGGCCTTCATGTTTATTCATGTGAACAAAATATACATATGAAAATGAGCATGCATGCATATGCACATATGTATACAGGCACATACACAAAGGTAAATGTTTAATACTGTGAACCAAGCCCTGCACTAGAATCTTCAGATATAACAAAGAACTCTGTACTTGTGGGAGGTTAGAGTTTGGAAGACATGGTGGAATGGAAAGGCGTTGAAAATGATGCAGAGCAATTTATCCTGGCCTTGTGTTTACACCAACTGAGGAGTTACAAAAAATATTTTTTCTGGGTCCCATCCAAATCAAATCAATCAAAATGTATAGTTATAGAACCAACTATTTGTATTTTTTAAGTTTTCCCAGAGGACACTAATGTGCAGCAAATACTGAAAATACTCATAAAGACAAAGCTTTACAAACCTTTAACTGAAATCATATGAAAACTTTTCTGTGCCATCTTTCTTCCACTGCTGTCCTCTTGCTCCATACTCCCAGATTTAGTAAGAAGAAAATGAATTATAACACTAAGATAAATGGCAAGTTGATGGTGCTTGGAGTTAATTCATCTATTCATTCCGTAAACATTCATTGAGCACCTATTATAAGCTGTGTGCTGGGCACTCTGGTGGTAGTTGCTAATATGAAATTAACATGACATTGTTTTCATTATGTCAATTAGGAGAAACAAGTAAGTCATCTGTGATTGCATTCCTGAAGGATAAGGGCAACACTGTGAGGGTAAGTTTGAGTTAGGTAAAAGTGAGGAAGCTGGGCAAGGGTTTTTAAAACAAAAGGAAGAAGGTCCTTTTTCTCTTTTCTGTTTTGCCATTTAATTTATTTGTGGAAGAAAATGGGTAATTTGTCCTATGGATTTTGCTTATTTTTACCTTCTATTTATTTTTACTTTTTTTTCTCTTGCCTCTTATATTTCCTGTAAACTGTTAGCTGAATCTAGAGGCTTGTTCATATTCAGGTTCAAGTATGGGCCCGAATAGTTCATAGGTAATATTAAGCACTTCCATCAAAAGACCCATGCTACCTGTCTTAAGTGTCTTTGGATTTCATGGACCATTATTTTCATTCCCTAAATCCAGTATTTTATCAAGGACTTTAAGTAATGATTTTCTTTGACTCCTTCTTAATTTATTTGCCATCATTTTCTATGAAGAGGAATTTTCTGTGATTGACTAGTTATGCTGCAGTACGATGAGTATAGAAAAATTAACATAAAGGCTTGCTTCTTCATCAGTTTCCAAAATGATGAGTTGGTACCTGAATATCAAAGTTGGCTGATGATAAGGGATATGCACATGTATTTTAGAAATATGGAACAGGATAGAATTACATTAAAATCACCCACAATCCCAACCACCATTAAAGAGTATATCTCCTGGTCTTTTTCTGTAAACACTTTTTAAATATTGGGGTCATATTTTATTGGTTTATATGCTGTGTTGAACATTTTTAGCATTTCCTCCTGTTCTTAAGTCTGTTAAGAGACAACAGGCTTTTTAAATGCTTTTTCATTACTACTTTTCATTCTCTAAGGCATATGTTTGTAGGCTCTATGTTCCCTTTCCCCATGGCTTACCTCCTTTGATGATGAAAAGGTTTGATAGCAGCAGGCAATTATTTTATAAATTACCACTTCATTTAATGTGGTTCTGTGTCCATCAAGGTATATGATAATCAGGAGATACTTACTGAATAGTCACTGTGCTAGCTTTAAGGGATTCAAACAGGATTAAAACCTTATTTCACATTGTCCTTCAGCCTATTTCAATAGAGTGATGAATGCTATTGGAGCCCAGAGCAAAAGGGCAATAAATTCTGCCTGAGAGAAAAGGAGAAACAGTCATGGAGTGAGTTTTTTGTAAAGATCTTGAAAAAATAAAACTTTGGTGTGTGTTTATGTATGTAACAGAGCATTGGGGAGTTGGGGCATTATTTAAAACAGATAGACAGCTGTAATAAAGACAAGACAAAGTGATTTAAAAGTGAAGAGGTAGTAGATCCAGGTAGTTAGAATATTGAGTGCCTGGGTGGAAGTTCCAACATTATGCTGAGAAGACACTTTCAGTCAGTTTATCGAGGAAGCAAGGTCACTTATAAAGTTATTATCTAAACTTGGGTAATTACAGTTGGCAGTAAATAGAGAGGCATATTATTGACACACTGTGCAAATAGAATAGTTATTCTGATAAGTGAATGTGAGGAAGGATTTAAAGACGACAACATAATTTTGCTTATAATGACTGTTATTAGAGCTTGGTTGTTAATGGAGTGAGACCAAAGTAGGGTAGTTAGAACTCAGAAATAACCTGAAAAGACAGAGAAGGATATTAAGGAATTTTAGAAATCATAGAACATAAAGAAATCAAAACATAGACAATCAAGAATTAGAGAAATTTACCGGTAAATGTCAGATAATTGGCAGGAGAGCCATTAAGCTTAAGTAACTTGTTCAATGACACATCTATCCATCCATTCATTTATTAATTCATTCACAATCATTTCCTCAATGATTATCAAGGCCTATTATGTTCACGTGTCTTATGGTAATAAAAAACTGGGATTCAAAGCCGCAACTTTTAGTCTGATGTCGGTTTTGTCAGATACCGCCTGCACAGTCCATCTCACTGGGTACACTTTGACTCCGTATGTTAAACCAAGGTAATTAGACATTCATCCTTTTCACTAAATGTTGATGCTAGTTGATTATTAATAGTTTCTGGGCTTGCACAGGGTTACTTGGACATTCCCTTTTTGGAACATCCATGTGCTTCTGAGCATGTTTTATTATTTTTAATTTCAACTTCTATTTTAGATACAAGGGTACCTGTGGAGGTTTCTTGCATGGATATATTGCATCCAGGTAGTGAGTATAGTCCCCATTAGGTAGTTTTTCAGCACACAATCTCTCCCTTCCTCCTCACTCTAGTAGTCTAGTGTCTGTTGTTTCCATCTTTATATCCACGTGCTCAGTGTTTAACTCCCACTTATCAGTGAGAACATGTGATACTTGGTTTTCTGTTCCTGCATCAATTCACTTAAAACTATAGAGCTGAGAATGCTTTTGATCAAATCTGTCCACAGTCAAGGATTCAAAACACCCTATCATATAAGATGACCATTCACTTTTTACAGTCCAGACCTTAAGGAGATGGTGTACTTCCATTACTAATGGAGAAGGTGTGTCCAACTTCTGCTCTAGATTCACACCATAGCTTAGTACATTACATATCCTCAAAAAATGATCTACTCATTAAAATAAGCATAACTTCATTTATTTTCCATCAAACCCTATAAGTATTTTGCTATTTGATGCATCTCTGTAAATAGAGCAGTTTACAAACTAGAAGTCCTCATTTCAACTGATTCCTAGTCTTTTCATTCTCTCTATATTCATCTCTCTTACTTTAGTCTCAAAACACCTGCAAAAGAATTCATGCTGATTCTTGCTTATTTGACATCAAAATTCCTGAGAGCTTCTTCCTCTGAACCAGGTTTCTTTCTTTTTTTTCTTTCAGTGTAAGGGATCTTCTCTACTTCCTTCTGGAAAACAAACAAACAACAACAACAAAAAAAACCTAGTAATAATAACCTACCACCTCTTCCACTGATTTCCCACTAATAATAGGACCCTAGTAATGGACTTTCTGCCCAGGATCAGTTTTAATATTTGTTCCCTAAAAATACACATGATGGACTTCAAAGCTTTTTTTTTTATATACTTAAGGAGTTATGCAACTATTTTTGCCAGACATGCAAGTCATATTGAACACAATGCTTATACACAAAATAGCAGTTTCTGTTGACTGTCCCTTGAGAAAGAGAACTATCAGAGATCTGATTGCCCTCAGAGTGATAATTATAAAAATTAGGTAAAATTTTTCATAATGTCTTACACCAGTGTATTATGGTGTAAGACATTATTAAAATTTCATATTGCTATGAAAAAATACCCAAGGCTTGGTAATTTATAAAGAAAAAGAGGCTTAATGGACTCACAGTTTTATATACCTCAGAAGCCCTCAAAAGCATGGTCAAAGGTGAAGGAGGGTCAAAGGTGTGTCTTATATGGCATCCGGCAAGAGAGTGTGTGCAGGGAAACTGCCCTTTATAGAATCATCATATCTCATGAGACTTAATCACTATCATGAGAAAAGCATGGGAAAGCCCACCCCCATGATTCAGTTACCTCCCACTGGGTCCCTACAAAAACACATGGGGATTATGGGAGCTACAATTCAAGATGAAATTTGGTTGAGGACATACCCAAAGCATATCATTCTGCCCCTGGCCTCTATCAAATCATATATCCTCACATCTCAAAACCAATAGTGCTTTCCCAACACTCCCGCAAAGTCAACTTATTTCAGCATTAACTCAAAATCTCACATTTTAAAGTCTCATCTGAGACAAGGCCAGTCCCTTCTGCTTATGACCCTGTAAAATCAAAAGCAAGTTAGTTAGTTACTAGATACAATAAGGGTACAGGCATTAGGTAAATACACCTGTTCCAAATGGGAAAAATTGGCCAAA